GCAGAAGACCATTGCGAAATTCCAATGCATTGAGTAAACAACATCGTAAAAAGTTCTGATCTCTGATCAGCTATTTGATTTTGTACCACTGAAACTGTTTCATGAAAGGGAAGATTAGTAGAGCATGAGCGTATAGACTATTCTAAGTAATGATAACAGATTGCTTAGATAAGATATCATAATTCATTGATATCATACTGTTCATTGATATCATAATCAGCCTAAATCAAGAAGAGATTCACGTAAAAGGCGACTGATACAATTGAGATGTTCAATATCTTTAATTTCTATGCAGTCGAATTGCTTTGATCAACAATAAGATACTTGAGAACAACTGTGACAAAACTGCTTAATGAATAACATAAAGTATCCGTGCGTGCATGCATTGAAACGATTGACACCATCCGAATAGAATACCGCAGAATATGATTTCTAATTGTAAGATGCGAATAAAAAGTATGAGAACACCGTATAGGGACAAATATGTTCCAATGCACTATTTTGATGCAAAACTGACATAAAATATCAATCTCAAACAAAACTGACATAAAAATATCAATCTCTTCTGTTATTTCCCTTTCAAAGTAGACCACATTCGGTTATATTACACCAGTCTCACAAGTGCACTGATATAAATATTTCATATTGTTCATGCATCCCGTTCGGCTTCACCTTCAATCAAGCGATCGAATTTCAGTACTTGATTTGAGCACATAAACCTGAGAAGACCGACTATTTGAAAATGATGACTCTCAAACAGTCATGCTGATGAATGATCAGTATAGATACAGCGTATTGAAATGAGCGAAGTCAAGCAAGCAACTGAGACAATTTCAGAAAATCAGCTATTCCTCAGAAAGTGAGCAGAATTGCCCTACAAAATACAAGGTTTTCCAGAAGCAGAGAATCTGGGGAATCCGATAATGTGCAGAGAATAACGTGTCACTGGGAAAATCGGACAGTACCGTTACCTTGAATACCTTGAATGTGGTAAACCCTTCAGCGCTATAGTGTTACAATGTATACGAATGAACGGTTCTGCACTAGTTGAGATACCTTACAGAAAATAGCTATATCTCCTCAGGTGAGACAAAACCGCCCAGCAAAATTTATATATTTCTCAATCTAGAGATTCCGTTGGATCGAATGGTGTACAGAAATTTACATGTTACTGGGCAAAGCTGAGAATACTGTAGGCTCGAAGATGGCAACGCGTGTAGCATTGAGGAAACAACTATAGCTCCTCATCTAATCATAATTGCTCGACAAAATATATAATATTTTGAAAATAGAGATTCTGAGCAATCGAACGGTGCAAAGAAATTCATATGTTACCTGGCAAACTTGAGAGTACGTGTACCTTGAAGGTGGTAAAGATGTTCACCTCTAGAGCAATAGTATTATGTTGATATTGACCTACGGTGATAGAATGCACGTGAATGAGCGACGTTGCGCTTGTTATTGATATAGCTTTATGAAAATAGCTATATCTTCTCACGAAAGCAGAATCGCTCAACAAAATACATGTTTTCTGAATCTAGAGATTCCGCTGGATCGAACGGTGCATAGAAATTCATGTGTTACTCGGCAAAGCTGAGAGTACGGTAGGCTCGAATATGGCAACCCGTATGGCATTGAGAGAATAGCTACGTCCCCTCATTTAATCATAACTGCTTAGCAAAATGTATGAAATTCTGAAAATAGAGATTCTGGGCAATTGAATGAAGCAAAGAAATTCATATGTTACTGGGCAAACCTAAGAGGACAGTCACCGTGAAGATGGTAACCTCTATAGAACCACAGTAGCTTATTCATATTGATCTATAGTGATAGAATGTACATGAATAACCGCCCTTGTGCTTATTGCTGATTGAGCTTTATGAAAATAGTCATATCTCCTCAAGAAAGCTTAATTACTCAACAAAATATATGTTTTTTGATTTTTGATCTTGAACTTGACCTTTGAAGATCTTGGGAAATTTTTTCACAGATCAACTGTCACTAAATTTCATCAATATTCTCACCTCGGCAAGGTAATCTCTGGAAAAAGTTTTCCAAGATTTTCAAACTGAGAATGGAATCTAATAGAGCTGTTCATGCTCTTTAAAACGTGTATCTTCGATTTCCCCAACAAGATTTCCATCATACCGTAATCACGCCTCATATGTGCAACTGTCACTATAGATCAATTGTATATAGCGTTATAGGCGTTACGATCTTCGAGGTACCGGTACTCTCAGATTTGCCCGGTAACATATGAATTTATTTGCTCCGTTGAATTGCTAAGAATCTCTACTTTCAGAATATCATATGTTTTGCCGAGCAATTATGAGTGGTTGAGGATATACAGCTATTTTTTCAATGCCATACGGGTTGCCATCTCCGAGCCTACAGTATTCTCAGCTTTGCCCAGTAACATGTGAATTTCTGTGCACCGTTCGACCCAGCGGAATCTCTAGATTCTGAAAGACGAGCAATTCTGCTTTTGTCGAGCAATTCTGCTTTCTTGAGGAGATATGGCTATTTTCATGAAGCTCAATCAATAGCAAGAGCAAAGGCGGTTATTCATGTGCATTCTATGACTATAGATCAATATGAATACGCTACTATGGTTCTGTAGAGGTTACCATCTTCAAGGTGACCGTCCTCTCAGGTTTACCCATTAAGATATGAATTTCTTTGCAATTTCTGTGTGATTGAATTTGTAGTTTGTAATTTTATAACATATGAATAATTTGAATTTGCAATTTGCAATTTACAATCTGGTAATACTTCACAATTTGGAACATATGAATTTCTGTTTGTGTTGTAGACTACATCCCTTTTCCTTGACCTAAACTGTAGCATTACCTAGAACGCCATTGTGATGGTGATTTTTCACTTGGGTACGTAAATGCGGTTTGTTGATAGCAACACTCTTCTTTCTTCTATTTTCTGCGTATCAGTAGTTTGTTCGGGCCTAAACAAACGTCTGTTCAGTCACCAATGTTTCGTAAGTTCTTCAATACGTTGGCTTACATCGTTTCTCGTCAACTTTGGAGACTAATATTTGGTGTTGTTTTGTTATGACGAAACGTCATTGTGATGGTGTATTTTTCACTCATAGTCAGATATCTTAACACGGCTCGCTCATAGAAACACTCTTCTTTATCATATTTTCTGAGTATCTCTAGCTCGTCTAGGCCTGAACAAAAGTCAGTCTGAAGTAGTCACATTTATTTCATAACTTCTTTAATATTTTGGCTGAAATCGTCTCTCATAGCAGTAAGAATTGATTGAGCTCTTTGGTACAACCGAAAAGATCATTGGTTTGGTGTGGGACGGTCGAGTATTTCTGAAGTCATTCATTATTATTATTATTTGGTTGCACTGAAAAGAAATGGGAATTTCAGACTTTATGCACCTGTCGCGTGTGAACACTCTCGATAGTTTGAATTTATTTTCATCCCTCCAAATTTTTACTTAACTTTAACTATCACTTTGATGGAGTGATTGCTTTTCCATTCAGCTCGAATATAATTTCTTATATGTTCATTGCATCTTCCTTCTTCGTGAATAACTGGAAGAATATTTTTTTAAAATTGCTTTTGTCTTTGATTACCGAGATTCATACTGTTTCTGCCGTGGATAAACAAAGTTCTGAAAATACTTGTTTCGTTCCAGAAAATTAATTTCTTTCACGCCAGAAGCCTGCCAGATCATCAAAAGGGGTAATGGAGCACCCGAGCGTGACAACAGAGAATTTCAATCACTCCAGTGTATGTACTAATTGCGACTATTGAACACCACCAGTGACTACGTCAAGTATAACTCTCGTAACTTAACATTTGGTGTCAGTTTGTTGAAGTTTTCTAGTGTAATCAATCTCGACTACAATGTCGTATTTATCCCGGTTATAAATTTTCCCTATAGGGTAGACAACAGTTTCAATTATTTCTTGAATCTTTATACTTCAAGCGAAATAGAAAGTCTTGAGTGTATCTGTATCGCTGTCCACTCCATATATCATGTTTCATTCTCTTGTATCTGCACTACAAAACGATAGATAAATAACACGGGTTTATTCCCGTTAAACGGGCAAGAAACTATCAAATAGAAATGGGAGTTCTGTCACTTGGCGAACTGTCACTGCGTTCGTATTGTGTGTATGCAGAATTGAATTCCGTTCGTCAAGAACCTCTTGGCATTGATCGTGTAAAGCTGAATCGTTTATTCAAATTATCAACAAACACTAAATTGGCACAAAGCATTGCGAATTGGTTGCACGAGTGTATTTCCTCTCGTTCTCTCACCAAAAAACATTGATGTGCGCGCGTATGGAAGTGATTTCTGGCATGTCGATCGTTACTGAGGCAATTAAATGTTTGCTATTAAAGTTTCTGTACCTCCTATGATGCGCTTACTGTTTTTTGTTGATTGGAAGTTGTTTTTGAATATTTTTACAGGCAGTTGTGTTGTGATTGTATCATCTGTATTATAATGATACTGATAGAGGTGTTAGGTAGCGCTACACAAGGCGGAATGTTTAATATTGTGGTGTTTCGAACAGTATGCATATATATTCTTATGCGGATTATATGAGTAACTTTTGGTAGGAACGAGATCTCTGTTTCTTCATAATTGCTGTTTTTTTTTCCAAATTATCGTTGTCCCTTACCAACAGAATTGCCAAAGGTATTCTTGGTACGAAGCAGTACTGTTGTAATGGCCGTCAGTGGTGCGAAGTGGATGGATCAGTCTTATTATGAATCCGTACCTAGCTCAGAAGGTAAATCAGTCTCTGCTTTGTTTTGATTTCATATAATGGCCTCGTTGTCCACTAAGCGAATAGTGTCATTTGATTCTCGATGAAGTTGGCAGCAAGATCCAGCGATACTTCTGATGATCGAATACCGTTTGGTGTTTTACAGTGAACTGGGCACAGTTGGCGCAACACTGGATGGCGATGCGAGATGCGGGAGAGGTGTCCAATGATAGTGCATTTCTGCCACCACCACCTCCTCCTCTAAAGAATCCTGCTCATCATGTTCCTCCTCCTCCTCATGATGCAAACTTCATTCCTCCTGCACCATATTTTCCACCACTTCCTATCGGTATATTTATCTTATTATTCTCCAACTCATTTCATGTTATGTTTATTCGCACTTTCAGTATATACAGATCAAAATTTGCTAACAACTACAAATTGATGAGTGTGGTGCACAATTTCTTGCTGAGAAGAAACAAAAATAATGAGGGAAAAGAAGAAATTAATAGATGAAGTCATGAAAGAATAACACATAATAATATATAAAGGCACTAACTGTTAATGAATACCGATATAAAGATTATAATATTTTAATATATGTTAAGTACAGAATGATACCTTGTTAAGCGTCTCTCATTCAGTATGAATATTATACGTGTTCAGTTGACGTCTGCCGTAAGCCTCCCAAATTTCTTCGAACAAGCATACAATTTCTAATGAGAGTGTAACGTTAAGTATCTAGAGTGAACTGGTTCTTCCTTAACTACTGAAAATTCTGTGTGCAAATTAAGCGAAAAATCGCTTCACAATGATACTGAAAAATTAAACATCGAGTGATAATTTCCTCTTCTAACTGGAATTCGCAGAATTATTGACGTTGGAGTGCCCCAAGGTGCTGTCATGCAATCATTTGCGTCGTTCGACTAGAGTTGTTACATGCGAGTGATAATTTCATCTTGATTGAAATCGACCGATAATTCAGATGGGCCACCACCGCCCTCCTTCCCTCCACCAGGCCATCCGCCGCCACCCGGATGGTTACCCCCTCCTCCGCCTCCTGCTGAGAGTAATTTTGGATCATCACCAGTGGCAGCCCCGTATCCACCATTTGTACCTCCTGTGCCTCCTTGGGCAGCCGAAGAAAGCGCAACTGTTAAAAGAGGTGGAAGAGCGATGCGTTTGAATACACATCATCCAGCGGGATCGGCGCCGAACCATCCGCCCTATGGTGGCGGTATACCATCTCGCGTTGTTGCTGAGGCTGAGCACGACAAAGATGACGGTGGTGAAGTATGTTCCATTGTTCGAATTTGAGTGTCAAGTTGACTGAATTATTCAGCCGAATTAGTATATTCCATTGCAAAGTTGTATTGCCACAGTCACACAAGCAATCATTTGCATCATTCGATTATTGCTTATGACGTTTTGGTCGTTTAAGAAATCTGTCGAAGGAATATTTAATTAATCGCTTCCAAAATATTGATATGAAATAGCACTCAACTACTGCTTAAACGTAGTGATAAATTAGCATTTTATTGTTAACTGAATTTATTGATTTTTTTGGCGTATCACTGACAGTTTCTAGTATTCTCATTACTACAAGGAATGGGACAGCGGTAAGCAAAAGGCGGATCTAAATGAAGGAAGCAGCAAGGAAAGTGATGAAATCGAAGAAAGGGACGGAGTGCCTCAAGGTGCTATGGCTCATTGGATGGGCGCCGCGCAGTGGAATAATCGACAACCGTCATGGTTTCGAAATAGTGCATCAACAGCTAGCACAACGCATAACGCACAAATGCCATATATTGGTCCGGTACTTCACTAATTACTTCACATTGTGCTCATAGACTTCAAGTTGGGCTTTTGCTAACTGCACCTGTAGGGATTTTCAGAACAGTCAGACCTTATCAAATTTACTTTGACATCTCTCGTAAGTGTTGACGCAAATCAAAATTCTTTTTTTTTGC